CTCCGCCTCCGTCGCCGGCGCATCCAGCGCATCATCCATACCCGCCTTACGGTCCAAGAGATCCTCCCATAAAACGGGACCCAGGTGAGGATCAACGCCGACCCAACTCGACGGGCCATGCGCCCGAAGGGATGTCGTCAACACCACATCTTCCGCCGACCTCACTGCCACCACCACCGCCTCCTGGCGCATACCCGGACAACCCACCGCGACACATGAATTACGAAGGCGCGCCTTCCATGCCCCCGACACCGGGTGGCTATCGTGCGCCCAGCTTCCCGCCGCCTACTCCGGTGCCCCATCAGACGCCCTACGAGCAACATGGAGGTTATCCGTCAACCCCTCACGAACCCTTCTATAGTGTTTATTCGTCGTCCGTCCCGGCTAAAAAGAAGAACACAAGAGCTTCTCAGGTATGAGCATTTTGTGGTTTGGAAGTGCGCAAGTTCTAATTGGAGATAGGCGTGCGACAGCTGCCGGCAGCTGAAGGCCAAGTGCGACGAGACGAAGCCATGTAAAACCTGCAAGGAAAAGGGCGTGGAATGCAAATACCGCGACCCGGTGCCCAAGGCGTAGGTTTTGAGAAATTCGCATTGACGTGGCAGCAAAAACTAAGAATAGTTGACAGGACGGATAAGGCTCAAGCCGACATTCTCGAGGGCCTCGGCTCTGTTCAGACTTCGCTTAACTCGATCATGTCACACCTGGGGCGATTTGATCAGAGACTGATCAAGATGGAATCCCTCTTACCTAAGCATATTGCGACATCAACTCTCAAGACGGAATCTTCAGTGGAGGACGAGTACAAGCGTGCGCCAGCATCACCTTACGTTGCCAATGGCGCTTCAGTGGATCCGTACTATAACGACGCCCACCGCGATCACCCGTCATCAGAGCCTATGCCACTGCGCATGATGGCCGAGGATGAGATGGAGGTCGAGCCTGGCCCACCCGTTCCCCCTGGTGAGCCCGCGATTCCTATCAACCATACGACTTTAGCAGGCCTGCTCTTGGAATGGCCTTCCATTCGGGAGCTTACAAAACATCACGTTGAGCGCGAAGGTGTCCGATACATTAGCGAATATCCCATCAGCCAAGAACAGAACAGAGGCGTTCTGATAGTTTATGGTCGAGGTGAAGATTCTCACCCGTCGCGACATGTTAGAGAACCAACCGACCATGGCAACTTAGATATGGCCGACGATTCATCCGATATGGCATCTCCTTCGCCCGCGGCTGATTGGGGCCAGCTCGGTGGACTGAGCCCCCCAGATCAAGTGGAATACAAGGGAGGTGTTTTGGTTGATGGCAATCCCGATTTCTCCGAGCCGAAAGTGTGGGCGTATGTGGAAAGTTTTAAGGAAAACATTCTCAATATGCACCCTATCATTCAACCAAAGCTGTTGGACTACTGGGTCAGGCACTTTCTGGATAACCTTCCTGCATCACAGCCACGTTCAGCAAAGCCACAAACATCGAAGCCCACCTTCGCCGTTGGAGGAGGCTCACAGACACCAGAAGCTGCAGGCTCAAAGAGGAAACGATCGCCAGGACCGGATGGCTCCGAGCCACCCACACCCGCGCCGCAACGTATCGGTCGACCAGATCGGTCCATCCATACTGCTCTAGTTCTCACGGTTCTGGCTTTGGGTAAAGTTTGTCTTCATCGTGATAACGTGCCGGATGTCGTCCATCCTACAGAGCCTCTTCCCCATGGAAGCCCAGCCCTTCGCAATGGAGCCATTCCGCCATCGCCCAATCAAGGCTCTCCCCCAGGATACTCATCCCATTCCCATTCATCGGGTTTGCCATCACCTAAAGAGCAAGACCGGAACATCCATAGCCGCCGATCCTCCATCCATGGCACAGGTGCCTTCCGCTCTGGCTACAGCCTCAAGAAGAATTACGAGGTAATTCCTGGCCTGGAGTACTTTGCCTATGCTACTGATATCCTTGGCAACCACACCGGCGCGTATAACAACATGAAAAATGTGTACGCTAACATCTTTGCTGGGTTGTATCATGGCCAGCTGGGCCGACCGATGGAGAGTTTTGCTTTCATCCACAGGGCCAGCCACAAGCTCCAAGTCATTATGAGACCGTAAGTGTTGGGAGTTTTAAAGGACACAGATCAGGAGTGACTAACAAGATTGCAGGAGCTTGGACAAAATGCGACGAATTAAGCGCAACAGCGAGTTTATTCAGGAAACCAAGTACAACCAACTTGCTCTCACATTCTGGACTTGTCTGCAGCTAGAAAGTGATCTCATTGCAGAGATGCAACTCCCTCCATCAGGACTACTCTCCTATGAAGATGACATGCCGCACCCTAACATGAGTCTCTTGGAAGGTTTCAACCAGCGCATCTTGGACAGCTACCCAGGCCAGCTATACTTGCGTACCCACCTCAACAGCATCCACCGAATGTTCTACGCCCCCGAGGATCCGGCCAAACCTGGCAAAGATAAATTCCGAAATGTCGGTGTTGTGTCTGATGCTGTCTCGGGTATGCATTGGGTTGCCCCTAGCTTTGCATTCAGAGAGGATGATCCACCTGCAGATGATATTCTAGCGGCAAGACTGCGGGCAAAGTACTGGGGAGCTCAGGTGATCACTTATCGCCCATTCATCCGACAAATTCTGCAGTTCTCGCACTCAATCAAGAATCATGCATCGAGCCCCAACTTTCCCAGCGTCAGCTCCGAATTTCGACAGGATATCACGGCACCTGTGATTCATCCCAAGGCCAGAACGCATGGCGATATTGATCCTCAAGTCGTTGAATTGGCTAAGAAGGGTATCAAAGCGCTCATTGAAAGCACTCGTGCTTTCCACGGTCTGGGAGATAGGAGGCCGATCATCACCAATGTTTTCGGCACAGCTCACGCGTAAGTCTCTTTATCTTCAACCGATGCACTTGGAACTGACCACGCTCTAGGCAATGGGGCAACCTGCTGATTCTATCGGCTGCATTCCGTGACCCAATCCTTCACACCTACGTGGATGAGGAACTCCTCCGAACACTGTTCCACAAGACGATCCAGTTTTTGCGACAGTCGGCAACAGCAACGAGTGCACTTCGAACTGACATGCACATCCTCGAAGGCCTGCAGAGAGATCTTTTCAGCTACGATCCTAGGACCAACTCGAGCTTCTCGAGCGGCACAAGTGCACCTGGCTACCATACTCCAAGACCTGTTCCCATGGCTGCGCCGCCTCAGATGCCCCATCCAATGGGCGATCAAGGACATCCACGATCCATGCCTCACCATCTACAGATGAACTCATCACATGGGCAGTGATATGGTCGACAATATTCACCGCCACGACTAGGAGACCCATACTGATGACTCTCATTATCATTTATAATCATCATCATGACATGGCGTTTGGGGACTGATTCATACGCGCCATAAGAGACCATGAAGGAGTGCCATTGTTTCGGCAGGTAGTTATTAGACGCTCAGTCAAACGAAATGGGCTCAACGGATAGAGCGATTATACCCCCAGGTGCATGGATTGCGCCTTTTCGAATGCGACTGAGAAGAAACATGGGTGCACCGCCATGTCAAGCACAGGTGTTTTGGATCGGTTCTAACTTATCGAAAGCCCTCTCGACTCGCTTCAGTGCACTGTATCATCACCAGCAGCGTACAACAAAAGAATACCTCCTTGGGGTGCGAACCCCAATCTCGAACACAAATTCTGTTGTATATACGTCGACGGATGTTTTTTTTGGTTTGACCGGTCATTTATTGAATTCCGCTTATAGAGAGGCTCACCTGTCGTTTGTATTTTTGATCATTACAAGAATTGCATTGCATGGCTGTTTTATATGGCAAATGATTTTTTATCATTGTTTTTGAACGTCACGGATCTCAATTTTCCTTGTTTTACATGGAGGGATTTGGAGGAGATACCACTCATGGTTGTTGAGCATACTGTAGTACATATTGGATTAAAAGGAAAGGAGGAAAATACGTGCATGCTCACAATCGTTTTGTTTTTCTGGATGTTTAGAAGCATTACCACCCAAAAGGGAGTTGATATATACAAAATCTATCCAAAATTATGAAGTCCTTAATCTTTATTGAATTTGCCAGGCCTAGGTTGAGCACATCTCCCGTTTCAACAAGAAATGTTGAGCGGCTTTGAAGTTTAATGACGCCATTGAGGCCCTCGTACTTTAACCCTTGCTCCTCTCCTGCATCCCATTCATTACGTGCAGCATCTCGATACAACAAACAAATCCCCTGCCCCTGATTGCACACGAGAGATGCATGGGGGAGGCACTGTTTCTGTACATATATGTCAGGTACGTACCAGGGTCTAGTTTAGTTGAACACCCCCGCCAAAAGAAAGGTCTTCTAGAAGGTCAGGGCGTTCTGTTTCGGCGATTCCGTGCATGTTTCTAGAACATCTGGAATGTGAGGGGGAAAAGGGGGAGGGGCAGATTCACCACGAAGACTGAAAAGGACGACAACTTGACTCACTCTAACTAAGTGAATCGATACATTTCTCAGCACTATCTGAGTTTTTGTGTCTCAAACGAGTCATTCAGGTGGCTCAGGTAGTTTTCAACTTCTGGATAGTGCAGGGATCGTAATTTTTGCCATAGAAAGAAAAAGCAATTATTCTTACATGTCATAAAGATTTACTGTAGGGGTCAAAACACGAGGAAACATGAGGGCAAGCATTGGCTGGGCGCTCCAAGAGGGCCACACTACTTAGCATGTTTTAATACAGAGATGGAACCGTGAGCCCACTCCATAGGCCATATCTAGGCGGTCAACCAAGATTCACACCGAGGGTGAAAGTCTTGCAAAGATGTTCGCGCCTCTGTCCCGGGACTAAACGTAATCGCAACTTTCACTCAATTCGCACTGGTACAAGTATCGATAGACTGATTGAGATTCTTACAGTAGGCTGTGTGCGCTTTTGATAACGTCACATGTGAATAGCGTGCTTCTATCACCGAACCAAAATGAATGTGCCGTTTACGCTCCAATCTTGTAGAACTTGGCCCCAAGTTCCGCCCCTAATACCTTGAATGCCTTCAAGACCAGCATCAACCCATCCTTCTTGTTTAAGTCCGACTATGGAGCCTCTGGCGTGCTAGCAGTAGATGACCCAATGCTCTCTGATTCCGATTTTTCGCTGTCGTCATCCCAGCTATCAGCGACCTTGATCTTGTCCTTGCTCTTTACTGCAATTTTGACGATGTTCTCGAATGTTTCCATGTGTTTCTGTGCTTCAATCTCACCGGAAGATGTCCCCGAAACACCAGCATCACTGTCCTCTTCGTCGCGATCGTCCGAGTCGATATCGTCTTTTGCACCGATGACCCCCTGAAGACTGGTCACAATGGTCTTGGGCGTGAGTCAAAAGTCCTTGAGATGAAACCAGACGTCACCTTGCTTGATGCCGTTGTCCCGTACTAGTACTTTCAAACTGCCATGCTTGTAAAAGTTTTAGAGATAAGCATTAAACTCAGCATTAGAATCGTGGGACAGATGGGGATATACGGAATAGCAGACTCCTCAAGAGAGACAACGCTTCTTACACCGGAACACAAATCCTTGATTGATTGGGGATCGTCGGTAAAGCCAGACAGAGCCGCAAATGGCGATCGTACGACTGTCGGTATAGTGCTCTTAGATGAGCACCTAGTAGAGTCTCTAGCCCCAACGGATATCTTGGTCAGTGGCAAATCCAGATCTGGGTTATCCGCAAGGTGATGTTTGATGTAAGATTGCACAAAGTCTTTGAAGATCGATAACGTCTCCTGGTTATGACGGACGAGCAGCTGCTCGGCAGAAGCTGGCATTGGGCCAAGGAAGATATCAGAGGATGATCGAGCTGCTTGGCCAACAGGACTCGAGTTTCGCCGAACGGGAATGCGATTGGAAAGGTGACTTATCATGTGAGGCACAGTTACCAAGATCTGGCACTGGGTGGGATTTGCTGGCTTATTTGCCGTACGTGTTGAAGACCCGTGCTTCTATCCCAGCAGCAATCTGGTTGACGAGAGCCTTTGTAGGCGCTACGTAAACCAAAACTCCGTCGTCACTCTCCCCGAGTACCTTCTTCATTGCGTAGAAATAAATGAATGTTTACCGGCGGATGTTGGTGCGATGACTAGGACGCTTTCATTGGCGTTGAATGGATTGAGAACATCGCGTTGCCAAGTATCTGGTTCAAACGGTACTCGTGCATCAGGCTGTGAGTCAAATCGCCTGTCCATGCCGGGGTCTCCGTGCTCAAGCTGCAGAAGCCGATGGTCTGACACCGGTTTCGAAGCATCACTCAAACCTTCTGCGTTGATAGGAAAGGGCAAACTCCTCCAAGATTCGCTTGCCTTGATAGGGAGTTGGGTAGCTGTCAGTACTTTGGCGATATCCTGAACAGCGTTGGCAGCGTTGGCAATGTTGAGCGACAATTAGGCGACCTGGAGATTTTACAAAGCCAGTTCCAGATCAATGAAATCAAGTATAATCCTGTACATGTTAGCGATAGAACTGTTTCGTAGAAACATTGTAACTGACCTTCATGTGAGTCCCTGCGCGTTTGATTCCGCACCTGAACCCATAATCTCATCAAGGTGTGGCATAGGTACAACTGAGCCTCAAGTCCAACGGCAGCATGACGTCCCGCAGATCTATCAGATTGAAAATCTAGAGTCTTGAGGTAACCGTTGATAAGGCTCTTGCCATTCTCGAATCTACTATACTTCCGTTGCCAAAGGCTCAAGGCATCCTTCAGCTTGGCCTGGGCTTTTTGGTCGCTGAGCTTCTGACTTTCTAACAAAGCACTCTGCGTACCTCCCCTTCCAGGGTTTTTGATTAGGTCGTTTGGGTTGCACAGCCATGCTAGACACGCCAGGTTTTTGGTTCGACTGGGAGTTAAAGAAAATGGGGATACCAGGTCTCGAAAAACCCCTCTTCAACACCGGTATCTGCCTGAACTCGGCCTTGGAGTGAGGAAATGCGAAGAGTGGCAACTTGTAACAGTAGTACTTCAATACAGTTCAAGTCAGCCTCAGCAACTGCGTATCCTGGGAAACAATTGCCGACGTAGGCACGACAAAAGGCCACAGCATGCTTCTTGGTGGGTAAATCCACCTTGCCGGGGTGGGCCTGGGATACCTGGCGAGCAACATCATCTACCAGATTGTTCTGGCCTGCAGTTCATGCAATCTTTGCAGTAGTCGAGGTTGATGGGAGGCTAACTGACTGACCAGGCTTAGACTTGAAGCTCGGTGCCATCTGGAGCCCACCGGGCGCCGGGTCGTCACACTCAATAATCAGAGCCACAGCTTGCTCATTTACAGGGTCGTCGATTCCAGGAAACGCAAAGCCCTGCCCCCCATGGAGATGAACGAAAAGGTCCAGAATGTCTTGAGCAACAGTGGACTTCTGAGCCGTTTATGTGTCATTGGTGTCCCAGGTCTCGATAGGAGGTGCAAGCTTGTCCCTAGCAGACTTATTGTACACCGCATCAGGCTTTGGAGCAGGCGGAATGTCTTCTACAGGCGAAGCATGTACAAGTGGCGCCTAGTATAATACAGAGAAGCGGTTATAGGCTGTACCATATAACTCTATGGCGTTGTCATTGTGGATCAGATGGTGGGGATGGGAAGATGACTTGTGAAGTATGCGAGTTCCCAGCAATGACAAAGAGAGATAGAATGCGAAAGACTTCGTGGGTATGCACTGGTCAAAGGGCTGGTGACAGCTATTGACAGTGATGAAAAAGAAGATCTGAACGCCGACCCTCACGAAGAGGCCCCCCCAAAGGAGGGTGCAACACGACGAACGGCGAGGAAACTCTCGTACGTTGCGCCCGAACGTATGCCCCTTCCCGTCAGAAGCGAATTATCGTGACAGGGCATCCCCAGGCGTAATGGGCGCGCCTGGGGTGCTGTGTTGCTTTACGAAGCCATTCAGCACTGTGGATCTCTCGTACACCGCGACTACTCAGGTTTGTTCAGTCAGACAAAAGAACTGCAAGATGAGAGGAAACAATGTCAATCTGTAGATTACTCACCAGGTTCTCTTAACGCCGGCCCAAAAAGGGCTTCTGAGGAGTGATAGTCCTCCGGGCGCAAGGCCCGGGGTGGTGCGGCGGTCGCGGGTCGTAGGTGTTTGCAGGAGTAAATGTAAGGTTGGAATGCCCTCATGTCAACCTACGACGTGATAGAGGCAAAAGGGGCGAACTCTGAGACAATGTAAATGGGTTACGACTCATATGTGAGTGTCGTGTGGCTCCAGAACAAGCGTGAAAAGCTCTGTAGGAAACTTCAATTACAAAGCTAATAACTTTCCAGCCTCCACTTGTAGTATTCTAGGTCTGTTAATACTTCGTATGCTCCTTGTAGTGATAAGACTCCCACGTCAAGTCAAGTATGTCTTGGAGTTAGCTGCCAGCTCTGATCTGGTTGTCTCGAATTGAACATTGCCATTACGGTCAGATATACACACGACGTTCACTATGGACTCACAGTAAGTGCAAATTAATCTAGGTTCTACGATGATTTTTGCTGGATCTCCTTTGTGTTAGGCACAGATATACGTCTTGATCGGCTCTGGAAATTTAATTCACAGGAATCTACTGTGATATAACAGCATGAGGTAGATGTTCATTAAGTTCCATTGACTTCTTCCCATACTCATCAAGCCTTGGACTTTAACAAGTCTCGGAGAAGTTATCAGCCTTGCAAGAAGTGCCATCAGGGCCACCAGACAGCTTAGAGGGCTCACTACCGTCAGAGTTACCCTCGAAAAGGTCGCAGTTCTTGCCTGAGTCCTGACAAGCGTTGGAAATGGTGCAAGTGTCGCCATAGTTAGTATTGACTAGGAAATTGTTAGTTACAAACTCGACCAATGTCTACGTGGTGACTTACTACCGCAGAGAACACCGCCGTTGACAGCAGCAACGTTATCGATAACAACATTCCGGGGACCACCATTATCCTTGCAGTTACCGCAAGACCGCACAAGCTTGCCATAATCCTCAACATAAAAGTCGGAGATCTCGACAGTGCCACGGCCGTTGAACTGAACAACTTTATCGGAGGCGTGGAAAGCACCTCCGCCACGAATGGTGGAGGTGCCGGACTTTTGCTTTAGGGTGATGGCATCTTCACAGACGTCCTCAAACCAGACGTTTTCAAGGGTGCAAGTTCCTTTGCAGTGGACGCCCTCAGCCTGGCCAGGTCCAATAATAACGTTGCGCAGAGTAGCACCATCCTCGAGAATGAACATAGCATCAGCCTCGCCAGTCTCCACCTGATCCTGGCAGACGGCCGCTGAATAACGTCAGTCAGATGGACGGTAGCTGAGAATACCAAACTTACGGGAACGATCATAGTATGTCATTTTACCATCGAATTCACCAGAAACAGGGATGGCAGTAGCAGCAGCAGTGGCGCCGCTGGATGCGGGAATAGTTCGTGTGATACCTCCAGATCCAGAGCCGGCATCAGGAGTAGCGGCAGGAGTTTCAGTAGGATTAGCTACGGGAACATCGATGGAAGTCTCAACAGGCTTCTCGCTGGGCCCGTCGCCCTCCTCCGCAGGAGCAGAGACAATAGGGGGGGGAAAGCATCCCCGTTGGCCTCCCCACCGTCTTGATTGTCATTGCCGCTGTCAGGGGCTTCAGGGAATCCGAAACTTGGAAACTCAATATCAGACTTCTCGACAGCAGCGGCCTCCGAAGAGGAACCAGCCTTGGCGTCAGGAATACACTGGCTGTACCACTTGCTGGCTTCGACGCATGTAGAACCGGAAGGACATTGGGTGTCTCCGGTGTAAGCACCACCACCACACTGGTTGTAGAGCTGTAGAGCGGCAAAGGCAGAGCCAAAGTTGGCAATGGTGAGAAGGGCAGCTGTTCGCATTTTGGAGATGATTAAACGAGTGGTAACTGAAACGAGAGTGAAGTGAAAGATGTAAAAGAATGTGGTTTTGCGGGCCTGCCCGTGTCTGCCAAAGATGAAAGAAACTTGCAAAGAATGTCCTGCTGAGCTAGATGTTGTTCGTCCGGGCCTACGCCTCTTATAAAGGACTCCTGTCATGCAATGATACCATCCTAGTCCTCCGGCCGCAGGCTCGTCAACCCTGGGAATTGAGCTAACGACAGACAAGCAGCTGCCAGTTTGCCACTGAAACCTTGACTAGGGGAGGCTTATTTAAGATAGGCACTTCTCGTCATGTACAGTCAAGGCTTAGCATAAGCTTATTCGAAGGGTCTGATAACCGAGTTGGTCGGATTGGCGGACTTTTCAGAGTTCGACGGCTGTGATTGGCATCCTGGTTCGATTCGAAACAGACAGAACAAAGAAAGCGGGCCATCTGTTCCGTTATGGAAAAGCCACAGAAGCTGAAAAAGAGCCAAGTGTAGGTTGTTTCACTTGAACCAAGGAGGGTGAAGAAGGATCAAGTAATCTCGGGTAAGGATAGTTTTGCGGTGTGTGTTCACAACTAGACAATTTGAAACGGCCAACATTTGTCAAGATTTGTTATGAGAGTGGCAACATCAATTTGATTCTTTTATTCTTCGTCGTAGGTCAAGACATGCCTTGGTGCTAATGACTAGGGTATTTGGTAACCACCAATGAAGGCTAAGCATTAGACAAGGAACTCGTTTGGCTTGGGGTTCTTGGTCCGAAAAGGCAAGGACCTATCGAAATTATATCCAGGAGCCACAGCTTGAGACGTACAAAGTTTGAGAGGCCCTGAAGAGATGAAGAAGCCATCCAGACTTTTAGAAGTATGTACTGATCAATGCCGGGATGAATCAGGGGATCGTCCGAACAATTCTGGATTTCTCTGGTTGAGTTGGTAGTATTCGGAATATTATCCAAACTTTATTCCTGGCTGCGATCGCTAGGGTTTGGATGATTCTAGGGCCTCGGGGTTGATGGTCTGGTCTGACCCAAGTAGGACGCATCTGCTTGGTCTGCGTATTTACCTGCGTATTCTTTATGTAGCGAATTGCTACACAGTAGTTCTAGCATCGTTCGATGAGAATGACCTTGCTTTTGCTTGAATAGAATGATCCCAGACTTGTGAAGATGCCCCTGCTGAGAACTCCTTGAAACGCATCTTGTATGAACAACAATAAGCATAAGCTGCATTTTTAAGATTACTTGGATCGAATAGCCATCCCTAGCCTGCGCGAGCTTAACTGAATTGGACCATTGACCCAACTTTGTTAAATTCTCTCGGCAATAGGAGGAACTTGGGTGAATGAATTTACGGATATCTGATCACATTAACTAATGCTCACGTGCGCCATCATGTGACCGTTGTAAGCTCCAAAGTGATGGATCTTCCACAAGCTTCTTCCCCCTTTTCAAGTAGATCAGCTAAAGGGGTGGCAGCGATGACGCCACAATCCGCATCATGTTGGAGAAATTGATATTTGGCACGACAACTCGGCTCAAAAACAGTTATTAAGATGCACAAAATTCATGTTGAGCGCAATTACAAGTGAACAAGCATTGTCACGAGAGCAGTTGCCTGTCTCATCTAAGGTGTGATGGCTATGGCAGTTGCGCTATTAAGTTTTGAGATTACACTCCTTTTTTGACACGAGAAAGCCGGACCACTTTTTTAATTAGACGATGTCGTTCGTTCCATTGAGAGCTATAGGGGAACTCGAAAGGAGGGAAACAGTAGCTTATCTGTAGATATCAGCTTTTGCCTCTGTCCCGACCTTGATCAATGCATCATGCCTTGTTTCTTGTTTCTGCTCTTTATCAGTCATCATATATCGCCTCCGATGACGGTATCCTCACAGTCTCGAATATAAAGTGCTGCTGTAAGGCGAGCCAAGTTTTAGTTAGGCCCCAGACTTTTACAAGGAATATCACGCCCCAAACCCAATCAGCTTTGGAGAAAGTCCAGACCCAATTCGAGACCCGGTTTTTTTCGCGTCAACGTGGGACTGCTTCGGTAGCCGTAACCGTTGTTCTCCAGGTTAATAACTACCTACTGTTACAGCAGTCCCAGTTCGCTTCCCCGTCTCGTTTCTCAGCACGCACATAATTAAGACCAGACTTACCTAGGCCCCTACTCTTAAGGTCTCTCTCTTCCTCTCCCACAACCCGACCCGACCCCGAAGCCACGTCATCTTCCCCTAAGAGCCAAGTCAGTGTCAGTCTTATCTATCAGCCATGTCTTCGCCATCAAGTTCATCCCAGGGTGGGAAGCGCAAGAGAAACTCCCTTCGCGTTGAATCGGCCGCTGATCTTGGTGATAATGGCATCCAGACATCCTCCCGTGATGCTTCTGGTGAGGAAGGAGACACAACAGCCGCCGAGTCAGGACGACTTCATAGCCGAGGATCAGCTGTTGGAGGCCCAATTCCTAAGAGACAGCGCTCTAGCTCGGATCGTGTCCTCGAGACAGCCGCTGACCATGCTCTGGACCCCGGTGAGCCAAGCGACACGACAGAAGCCAGTATCGATATTGCTGAGCGAGTCGGTCGCAAGGGTCGCAAGCCTTCTCTGAGAGAGCTTGACGAAGAGGAGCAGCGAAGAATTGAGGCCATGCCTCCTCCTCCCATTGGAAAGCTCCAAGATCCTGCTGGTGGCTACAAGACCAACCCTCCTCCTGTTGGTCGACCTGTTCGTGTATACGCCGACGGTGTGTTTGATCTCTTCCATCTTGGGTAAGTTAAAGAACCAACTTCTTGAAATTGAACTATCTGCTAACCACTTCTTAGCCACATGCGTCAACTCGAGCAGGCCAAGAAGGCTTTCCCTGACACAACACTCGTCGTTGGAGTCACAGGCGACCACGAAACACACAAGCGCAAGGGTTTGACTGTGATGTCTGCCGCTGAGCGTGCCGAAACTCTCCGCCACTGCAAATGGGTCGATGAGGTAATCGAGGATTGCCCATGGATTGTTACCCCCGAATTTCTCGACGAGAACAAGCTCGATTATGTGGCTCACGATGATCTTCCTTACGGCGCGGACGAGGGCGACGACATTTACCAGCCCATCAAAGCTGCTGGCAAGTTCCTTGTCACACAGCGAACAGAAGGTGTCAGCACAACTGGTCTCATCACAAGGTATGCTAGCGAGCACCCATGTTATTCACCATGCTAACAGCTTGCAGAATCGTTCGCGACTACGAGAAGTACATCGCCCGACAATTCAAGCGCGGCACTTCCCGCCAAGAGCTCAATGTAAGCTGGCTCAAGAAGAACGAGCTGGACCTCAAGCGACATGTTCAGGACCTTCGGGAAAACATCACAAATAACTGGACCACTACTGGTCAAGAACTCGGTCGTGAGCTCAAGCAGTTCTGGCCTACTAGCCGTCCTCAGAGCCCCGCCCGATTTAACAGCGCCGGCAGCTCAGAGGCACTACGATCGCCAGGCGCTTCTGGTACACCCAAAGAGTTCATCACTGGCTACGCTCTTGGTCTTGTTGGCGGTGTCCGAGGATGGGTGAGTAGTGGACATGCGTCATATTTTCCACGTTAAACTAACGACCGTCTAGATGACCAAGAGCCGAGGAAATGTCACCGACAGCAGCCGACCCCCCAGCGACGATGAGTCTGAAGAGAGTGATACACACGCCAAATCGCCAAAGGACTCATCAAACACTCCAACCGCAGCTGCAGCCGCAGCCGCTCCCTCGAAGCTATAAATGGGGCTGTATGGTTATACAGATTGCAGATGTGGAAGATTGATTAAAAATGTCCAGAAGGAAGAGGAGGCAGGGCCACCGCGATTGGGACAACAGATGTTTGCGCAAGGGACTTTGGATTATTATTTTAATCGGTATTCGGCTGTGCGCTTTAATACAGGGCCGGTAAACAAGGCGTTCTGGCTTGTTTTTTGTATGGAATGTTTTCGCGACTATGGTGTGACCTCAGCGCACTATTGATCGCGGATTCGTTTTGTCTAGCTACAGGATTGTACGACAGTTGGGCGAAGTAATCCGAGGAGTATGATTTATCAGTTCAAACGTTGACACTCCCTTTTTTGTGACATTCTCTCACTGGCTTCGGGCCGACTTGCTACGGCCTGTTTCTCTGCAGGTACAATCCTTTGGCTCGGGAATTTATTTCGAGCCCCTCGTTGCTGACATGATAACCATCGTCGTACAGCTAATCAAGCCAGTATGCATGGCCCCCTCGGTGAGGCTGAAATATCGGAGCATATCAGTCCGAGCCAAATTTCTCCAGCTTTCCGGATGGCGCAGACGCTCAAATGCCACAATCTGGGGGCGCCTGCGCTTAGGCGCCTAGGCGGCTATACTATCAACTGAGCTCAGTAAGATGATTACTATAGCACTGAATGATTAGAGGTAACGTTTCAACAGATGAGACCACTTCATCATGGCAATGGTGGTAAACTGGAGTACAAGGGGAGATCTGGTTGAACTTGTCGATCGTACAGTCAGCAGCAGTCTGCCTTGACCTAAGAGATCGACATTAGGCAACAGAAATCTCTCCACGCCTTGCAATGCGATGTAGAGAAGTAGTTCCCCGGCATGTATAGAAGAAACTGGATTGCAAGTGTTGATGTCGAAAATGTCAAGCTGCTGAATGCCAAAGATTCGTACCAGGCTGCGATAGGTAAACGATACGATCAAGGATGTCCGGGTAAACGTCCGAATGCAGATGGCCCCCCACATGTGTCATGAGGATTTCGGTGAGTACTCAAATGAGTGACTAGTTCATAAACTCAAATTGCGGTGTATAGAAAGATGGAGGCATTTGGTGAGTGACAGGCAACAACTGCCAAGTCAAGGGGTGTGTCCCCATGTGTAGGTAGATCTGCTTCCACTTCCAGAGGAGCACATGCGAATCAGACCAGACGTGCATCGGCGCTGAAAAGTTAGTTGTCAACATGGGCATGTCTACTCCGTTGCGACGGGATGAGTTCATGTAGCATCTTAGCGAGAACTTGGCGACAGAAGCAGGGTCGATTTCGTGCAAGATCTGCATTGGGAAAAGCCGCTTCTTCTTGTCAATGTATTGGTCAAAAAGAGCCTCTAAGTACAAAAATAGTCGGGATCCAAGCGCCGAGGGCTTTTCGCTTGTCGACCCAGATATCAATCTGTGGTTGCAACAGTTCTACCAGTCCCGTGGAGGACTTCCATTAAGGAACATTCTCCGTGCGGGCCGAATCCTACAGAGTCTTGGCCTCAAAATCCGAAAAAGGTCGTTTATACTAGACTTAGCGTGCGGAATGGCATTTGGTAGACAACGGTATGTGGTGATCTAATTTGGGAAAAAGGACAACCCTTGGACAGCTGGTGCAGTGTAGTCTCATGGACGTTATTATTTCCTATTTCCATATCCAGCCAAAAGGCGGGGAGAAACAGCGTGGAACGTGGAACGGTCCGGCCCCGCATTCATATCCTTTTGCTCGGGACGACCATAATGGTTTGTTCCCGAGTCAGAAGAAGATTAATGTTTAATAATTAAACAGGTAGTTTATAGGTCAATGAGCCGCAAGGCGTTGCAAGAATTGACTCGTCGATCTGCAAATTAAAGAATGCCTTGTCTCTGATTAATTAATTTGTCGATCAGTCAACAAGCATTATCATGACGCTGTTGACTTTTGCTTGAGCTAGCGCATCACACACTGAACAAGCGAAGAGTCTGTCTAGGACCCAACAGGCGCAGCCAAGGGTGTAAAAATAGGTCACTTCAGGTCATCATGAAACATCGACCAATCAGCCAACGAGTGGCTGAGCCGTGGTGGGTCTGCCCTGGACTTTTGTTTGGTCACCCTAGCGCCCAGCAAGGCTGGGCTAATGTCACCCTTGTACAACAGACAAGGGTTCGAATTGACGCTACCAGGGGAAAGGATCCAACATCTCAAGTAATGTTTCAATACGTCTGTTATGAGAATGGGATACCGGTATTGAGGTCGGTTTGGGACTCGGCTTAAATGCGGGTGACATTGAGAATTCGGTAAAAAGCTTAGACCAAACTTAACATAAAACCATGTGGACACTGGACACTGGACAGCGTTGTAACGGCGCGGGCCCTATGAGGCTGGTTTGGCTATGGGAGCTAATTACCGGTAAACCCTTGGGATAAGCACTTGTAATATTGGACCTATGCTCGCCTAAAGACGAGTTGCTTCACAATAGAAGTAATAGAAACAATTACGCAGAAAGTTCAAAGAACACCTATTTAAAAGCAGTATCAATAAACCCAATGGCTGATATATCGGCAATATCGGAAAACCAGACTGATGGGAATGGATGCTCACTAAGTCGGCAGGTCAAGCTCTTAGGTAAGCCGGCACCTGTCACTGATGCAAGCAAGAGCGACTGGAAGGTACCTACCTGTCGGCCGCCGTTCTTTCTCCCCCAGTTCATTTTCTTCGACTTAACCTTTTAGACACAGCCTCTTCTGTATTGGATCTTTTTTCTCTCCTATGCATCATTGTCGATCCCTGTCAGACAATCACACCCATTTCGAAAGCGCGATGCCATGTCTGTTGTCATTCTGGAGACATCAGGCCATGATCGGTTCTAGCTTTAGAGCAGGCACCAACAGGCGCCTTGACGCCATACCCGCCCGACCACGCCCACGCTCGTGCCCACAATGTCTCAGTGCCCAGATACAGATGCAGATGCATTGCTTTAGCTCCCTGTGAGACTGGAGCTCCAAAATCAAATTTTGCCCTAGTACCCGAGCATCCCCTAGCTCCAGTTCGAATTTCTACGCCTCTGAGCTGCTGTTCCGTACTGGTATTTTTGGATTCGTCGTGTGCAACATCTTCCCTTCTATCACTATAACCATTCTTACTGACCATCGCCGCCATTTTGTCTCTCTTCAAAAAGCACTGGATAGGGCTACGTCAACTACGTCTAAGCGCGAGCTACCACCCGCAAGCCATCGGATCGGTCGGGGATGAATAGTGTCTTTTTTGGTACAGTACCACACTTGGGCGCTAGTTGCTCGATCAGGTACCGTTCCTTGAAGGCTTAGATGGCGCTTGCGGCCCCGTCCCGCCACTTGTCGCATTCTCGACGAACAGGGAGCGGCAAGCATGCGACAAGGGTCGATGTGAGAGGGTGGCACATGGACAAACCAAACCGAACAATGGGATGGGCTCCCCATGTCGCAACCTCTTGGTGTCGAGGACATTCTCAACACTGCGTACAGTAATCAAGAGGCAGACAAGTGCCTTGCATCAGGTGCATCTCTTGTTTCCCCTCCACCTCACCTCCTTCAGAGCATCTAATCTTGTCCATATCCATGTTGACCCATGCATCAACTCCCCTGTCCTGCGCGCCCCATACTCAGCTCTCAGGGTTGTCTTCAACCTTGGGTCAATCACATCGACATCCCCTTGCATCCATGCTCTAACACTCTCTCAAATAATCCTGCCCAGGTCCAACCCAGCAATGCCTCTCCTAGTTCCTATCTTTGTACCAAGAGTAAACATCTCACTTACACTGAGCCCCATATTCATATCCACATCCCTGCTAAACACTAGGCTACGCTCTGTTCGCCAGCCTTAGCCGTCTGTACCTCTTCCCATCTGTGATCTTGCTTGAATTCTACACAAACTCCCCCATTATTACTCCCGCTTGCTGTTCTATACCCTCATCGCCCACCTTCTCTACATGAGCCTAAAACGTCCCATCTGCCGGGACTTGTCCATACGCCTCCCTGGGGGCTGTGTCTTACTAAGTTTGGCTTGTCCATCTACAATTCTCCGGACTCACTGCCTCTTTTGATTCGTGCTTCTGTTATCAACTACGGGCCATGGCTAGTCTCAAGAATATCATGAATACCGACGACGAACACGTCGATTCAAGTTCCGGAACCCGTTCCGTCGATTTGACTTCAAGGCCACCCTCTACCCACAGCCATGCTACTACATTAAAACATCCACCATCCTCTTCCTCCCATAACAACAGGTCTGGTCCTTCTATTCCATCCATGACATCTTCTCTCGATGACCACACATCATCACCGAAGCCCAATATCAACATGAATAGCCGACGCCGTAGCAACGCAAGTGTTGACTCCAACGAGTTCTCCTACCAACCTGGCCCATCATCGCACACTCCCATGAGGCCCTTCACCACTGGAGCAGCCACTGGAGAGGCACACGTCAAGCTGACTCCCATAACGAGAAAGATTAGCAAGGCGAAGAAAGGTGTTCCGGTTCATACATGCAACCAGTGCCCCAAGGTATATTCCTTCTTTTTCTTTGCTCTTCACATCTAACTTTCCCAGACCTTCTCTAGAGCAGAGCACTTGAGGTTTGTGGTCTTCTTCAAACTCAAGAGATGTTTCTAATAATGTGATACAGACGTCATCAGCTCAGTCACTCAGCTCCCGATTTATTCTGTCCAGTCGAAAACTGCAATAAGACTTTCCATCGCAAGGACCTCCTCGACCGTCATGTCCAAAGACAGTACGTTGGGATAGTGGCACTGGGAGAGCTTCGAGGCTAACAAGCGTAGTGAGCAAGATGGCCAAGATGTTAGAGACCCGAAGCATAGCAGTCGAGGTAGCCCGAAAACACCTAGCTTGCCCTCTGCAGGCCCTGCTACAGAATCAGGACTCAAGATGCCCGAAATCTATAGAAATCCTCGAGCAGTAGCTGCAAATAGCAGCTCGAATGTAGTTGGTTCATGGCCACCAGTGGCATCGACATCCGCTCCTCATCAGGCCTACAATCCGCCGCCAACCGTGAACAATTCCTCAGATAATTACTCCATCGGGCCAAACAACTATGTTCTCCATACACTACCGACGAACGAAAGCTTTGTAACAAACTATTCGGAACCAAGAAATATATCAGACATGTCTATGATATCATCAATCCCTGAGGATGCACCCCCGGATCTAGGCTGGCCTGAAAGCTCAATGTCTTCATCAGCTCCCACAAGCACATTCTCGACTCCCCCAGATAACACAAGGCGCTCGCAATTCTCTGTGCCAACAACTAACGGGGCTTGGATGACCGCGACTCCAGCTTACCCAACAACTGCAAATGACATCACTGCCAGTCTGGACAACAACACGTACCCTGGCTCGTATCCATATACCAACACTCCACCGCAAGCATATCCCTCTGTCTTTGGCGATATGGATCTTGCATTACCTGGATACTCCGAAGGCACTCCTTTCAGCACTACCAATCAGATCCCTATTCCTGCAGTTCGTAGCATGTCCCCTTCATTAGCCGTTGCTCATTCTGAGAATTTAGTAGCTGTCTCATCGCTACCAACATCAGATGGGGTTTTCGGGTTGGGGGGATGTAGCTCTGGGCCTTCAGATGGCAGCCTATTGAGTACTCCTGACCTGATGCCCCTATCTCTCCCTGCAGCGACGAGGGACTCAATTCCGGCATACTTGGAAACCTATTGGGAGCATGTCCACCCTAAGAACCCTATCATACATAAGCACACTTACGAGGATGTACCCGAGGAGGAGACAGAGCATATACAAGTCCTACAATGCGCTATGGCTGCTCTGGCAACACAATACATCCCTAACGCAGACGATCGCATGAAGGGAGCCCAGCTTCATGCATACGCCTGGCAAAAGTCAAAAGTGGTGAGTTGAGAGAACAGGAGCTTGCCAAAGGAGCAATCGACAATCGACCGGTGCTGATACACTTAGTTTACACAAGCTGAAAAGTGGTCAATGCCCGTACAGCAAACAATTGCACTTTGCGAGTATTACGCTCGGTTTCGTGGTAGAAAGCCACACTCACATCAGCCCTCTGCTCGGTTCACTGCACTTTACCATAGGGTTAGTCCGCGTGATTTTTCTTGATTATTCCTTTCTTTCTTCCGTTTTCTTCTTCTTCTCTTCTTTATCTTTCTCTTTTATTGGAAAACTTCCCAACTTAATGTCTTTCTTTTCGACCTTCATACCCCCCTTCGAATACCTGGCTCAACTCCCGATAGGTTGTTAATCATCACCATGAACCTTCTTCTCGCTCTTCAACCAGAGATTATTCGGCTTGGAAAATTTGGGTTGTCGCAGAAACTCAACGACGACTGCTGGCTGCCTGCTTCCTCCTGGATGTCCACAGTTCACGATATCATCAACGGCCGTATGTTTCCGCCATTGGCCTGGACTACACTGCTCCAGACACTCTTCCTATTCCACTTACAGCAACAACAACAAAATCCTGGGAAGCACATGACCCTCAAACATGGACAAGACTACGGACAAGAAAGGACCCGAAAACCATCTCGAGCACGAACATGAGGATGCTCTCTGCCACTGATATAGCCTCTCTTCCTGCCTTTGACGCGGCAATCTTACTTGCTGCATGCTCATTATTCATTCCACGTCGTCAGAACCTAGCACACGTTGGCCTGGTGGAGGGTGCACTGGACTTTGAGTCGGAGAGAATGCTTTTGTTAAGAGCATTTCCTGAGTCGGCAGTTGCTAGTACCTACCTGGCTCTTCACTACACACCCCTTTACTACCTATTATCAGTATCCGGGCAGAGCTGGGTGTTCAACAAGAAGGTGACGGACTTTAATGTCTTTACGGAACACCAGAGATCACTAGGCAAATGGTGTAAATCTGGTACAGCTGCAATCGCCACTGTCTTTGCTGCCCGTGCTTTGAAGATCTTCCTTAACCTCAAAGCTTCAATCGACCAGGGACAAGACACGAAAGGAAAACCTAACCAGCAACGAACAATACCTCGGACAGATATTTCGGACTACTGGGGTGTTTACGTTTGCTCGTTGGTCTGTTGGGCCTTCGGTATTGAGGATAAACAGGAAAAGGACAATACCAACATTCCGCCAAAAGCTGCAAAGCGGTGGGTATTGACAGTTGCAGATTTAGAGCCATCCGAGTTGCAAGCTCAGAATCATCGTAATGGGGCTCAAGAGGTTGTAAGTCTTGTGAAGGAGGTGCTGGAAAGCGATTGTCTGGGCGGAGGAAACATTCTTTTTGCAGATGCCGTGAACGTTCTAAAACAACTAGAGAGAGGGGCACCTGGGAGGTCGTGCCCAGCTGTTTGAGTCTGGCATTCATGAAGGACTATGTCCTATTTGTTCCTTTTTTATTTTTTTATTATTTTTTTATGCTTGGATTGAGTTGATCGCATTGATGGGACATGAGAAATGCATAGGTAGGAGTTGGGCGATCAAAAGAGATAGGAAATTGGGGCACACGTTGGATGGTATGGAGTGAAGGATACATACCTCGGTTGAAGGGATCATAGCGTAGCGTTGCAGAAGGAAATGATGCTTTTTACCTGCTGAACCTTTCACATGAACGTCCACACTGAAATAGGTAACGTATAAATGGCGGGAAAGTGTTGAGTTTGTCTCAGTAGGCGATCAACTAAGACATGATCGAGTTTACAGATACCAAATGCGAAACGTCAGGATGTGAGAGCTTCAACTAAGGCGTTCGGAAGCTTCGGAGACCATAGCGGATCCAACTGCTTAGAACTATTCCAAGAAGATAAACGCGACGTCATGAGAGATATCGACGCACTTTGATAGAACTGATCCTACTGGCGTAAGATGGGAGCTGGACATGACATTGGGCTGAGGGCGGATGAGTAGAGGGATTTGGTGGCTTGTGGCGTCGTCTCAGGATCTCAGCCCTGGGAGACAATTAGAATAGAGACAGGGTCTGGGTCTGGAAGTTATCAAATGAGTGCGATTTTAAACCATTCCAGTGACGTCGAGATGACTTGTGCTGCTTATATTGCGAAAAGGAATTGAGTGATGAGTGCTGACTGGAGGATGAAGTTAGGTAGGGGAATTGATATACATGCCTACCTAGCATTTAGAGGGATGTCTTTATTATATCTTACAGAGCTTGAAGAATATGACCAAATCGAGAAGGGTATTTCGGTCCTGGGCAGAGGCCAAGAGGGAATGATTGATTACTACGCATGCATGATGGATGGTCTTGATCACATGCAAAGAAACAAATACGACCAAAAGAAGTAAAGAAGCGGTGACGGAGGAACAAGAGAGATTAATTGTCCGTATCTGAGCGGTGATGGAAATCATTTGGTGGATGTTCCGTTGTTGGTTTAGCCTCCGACATACATAAGTCAAAGCCCAGACTGAGTTATGCTATCGGCCTATGCCTCTTGTCAGTAGCAGAGTTGTCAATAAAGTACCTCATATTAATTAATCTTGATCAACAATTCAAACGTTGGATGCCTCTCATGATAGTGTACCAAGGCCAAGCCAAGATCAATCGGATCTGGCAGGTTCACGGACAATCGGCACCATTAATACTGGAGCCAAGAGTCGAGAACGAGTTGCCTATTCTGAAAGGAACCGAATCGAGGGGATTTGAATGCATGTCATGGAAGGAATTTAACACGAGGCATATGTAACCTTAGGGCGAAGTAGACTCCCTCGTACTGTAAAAAGAGGCTAAACGATAGCGGATAAGGTAAGATACAGTAACCTTCTGCCAGGCTAAAGACAACAATAATGAGAGGCATTTTCTTCTGTTTCTCTTCACATAGAAACACGAGACGAGACGAGACAATCTTGGTCAAGACAAGGTACCTTTTATTAGCTCAATCAGATTTGAGGTTATTCGGTTAGGTCGAGAGATGGACGAATACGTGTCCCCCAGTCACGGAATCGGCACGGCAAAAAGGCGCCCCAACACTATTCATGGATGGCTCTAGTGGTCTAGTCCTGGAATCTGGAGGCTAGAGGCAAAGGTACAGACAGGTCTGGGCTTATTTGGGGGTCCTAGACATTGTGAAGGAAAACTGCCCTGAGCAGAAGAAACACAAGTGAGCTTATTCTCAACTGAATTGCATTATAACAAGGGTCATTTCCCTTTTTCGGCCTTTTCTGTTTCTTTTCTCGTTCTTTTTTCTCCTGAATTCTGCATGTTTTGCGAGACATAAGACGAGATTAAAAGAAGACGAAGAAAATAAGCCAACCAGGGGAAGCCCAGTTGTTTTCTCCATGGATGATACTTGATTTAGTATCACGGTCACTCCTGAGTTCACATACCTCGTCTTGTTTAATTCAACGTCTCGTTTCTTTTATTACCGAGCTGGATTTAATTTGAATCATTTCTTCTCTTATTACCTCTCTTTATATTCTGCCTCACGTGCCTCTACGCTCAACCATCGACACACTCACTTCTGTCTCTCCCACCACCAACCAATATACTTTCAACCAAGTACTCCACCGACCGATCATAGACGGATTCTTTACGCGTTCCTTGTCCCACATTGACGGCTCAGACGGCGCTGACACTTGATACCGGGGCTTGGCCGTGGCTTGGCCTGGGCAGTCGTCAGAGAACGAATTCGGAGTACGAGCTGAGCAATCACTGAAGAGCAGAAGAGCGAAAAGGAAAGAAACAGAAAAAGAAAAATACGGCGGGAATGGTCACGGCGTATATCGAATGAAGCAGCCAATCTAAGCCACGAACCGACACGACGACTTATAACACCATTTCAAAAAAGGGGTCGAGAACCAGTTTCATTCATGCTACCAACCAATTTCTAGTTGAGGGCTGAGCTGAGCTGAATCTGTGGAAGTGAGCAAATCGTACATATCCGAAACGATAATACGGTGATATTAAACTCCAACCTAAAAATCATTTCGAGCTGAAACGGGCGGCATCACTCTTGAGATTCTTACAACATCAACAAATTTACAACATCAACAAATTAACTTGAGAGTGATACTCAAGACGACAACAAGTTGAAATAGGACAAATCTGTTCCTGGTTTTCGCTACGTCACTTTAGGTTGTTCGTTCCCACCCTACCAAACATCCCCACCAATCCCACGACAGTCTGCACACCCCCCAACCTACAAGCGGAATCAACCTTGGCCCTCACCCCTGGGATACCTATTACAGGGCACTTTGTGGGTGTCATCATCTGGAAATCCGCCTGAGCTGAGCGCCTGAGACGCCTAGACGCATCACACCCTTCCATCCCAGGCGCTTACTGTACAGCTCCAGCACCCCCGCTGTCGATCGATCTATCACCCTCCATAACTTCTGAGACTGCAGTGCTGTGTGTGACAGGGAGCTCCAGCTGTTGGAGCCCCAGTCCGGCCAAGCCAAGGCCTTTTCTTCGTCATGGTGCGCATCATCCCAACTCGACTCAAATCGACCTCTCGATCCTCCTCTTCTTCCTCCACAACCATACACTCCGTTAGCAACACCAACGGAAGAACCAAAAACAACCGCAGCAACAGTCCTCCCATGCGCTCAAAGAATGATAGCACGAGCCCTTCGAGGGACGCTGGAAATGGTCTGGCCCTTAGAGTCTATATTATAAAGGTAATTGATTGTCCCTTATGCACTTCACTCCCTCTTATGCGGGCTGGATGTAGCACTCTCCAGCCATCACCGCTTCTTTGCCCGATCAATCTACGCGACAGCAATGCAGCGAGAGAACATCCGAGTGTAGACTCTTCCCATTAGACTTCTGCTAACTTCTTACCAGGGAAAAGACCTTGCAGCCAAAGATCGCAGTGGCACATCCGATCCTGTAAGTCACTCCCTCGATACCATATCCCCAATGCTGACAGCAACCTTTAGTACCTCGTTCTTTCTAGCGGCGACTCTCGAATCGTAACCAACGATGTCCCAAAGACACTCAACCCAGAATGGAACGTCACCGAAGAAATTCCCCTCACATCTGTCCAGAACTTAGTCCTGGATGTCATCTGCTGGGACAAGGACCGCTTTGGAAAGGATTACATGGGCGAATTCGATCTCGCTCTCGAAGAGATCTTTAATAACGACAAGGTGGAACAAGAACCTACCTGGTACCGTCTCAAGAGCAAGCGTCCCGGCAAGAAGACGAGTGTTGTCTCTGGTGAGGTCCAGTTACAGTTTTCCCTCTTCGACTCGACGAACCCGTCAGCGACACCACAGCAAATCCTCGAGAAGTTCCAAGCCCTCGTAGGCACCGCCCCCGCTGGCTCTCGCAATGTAACGCCCTCGATGACGCCGAACCTGGCCCCCACAGGTTCCCAATCCGCCCCCAACTCTCAGGATAGTCCTAGTGACGATGACGAAGACGATTTCGACGAAGACGACTCCGACGAGGGCGATGAGGATGAAGGCGAACAAGATGCTACCAAGCGCAAGCGCCGACTTCGAATTCGAGGATTGAAGAAAAGGAGACGCAACAACCCTTATGCCTTTGCCAGCAGTGGCTCTGACGTGGTTGGAATCATCTACCTTGAGGTCATCAAGATCACAGATCTGCCTCCCGAATCCAACCTTACACGCACAAGCTTCGATATGGACCCTTTCGTCGTGGCATCCCTCGGCAAGAAGACATACCGAACTCGACGCATCCGTCACGACCTCAACCCTGTTTATAATGAGAAGATGCTGTTCCATATACAAAGCCACGAGCAGCAATACTCTTTCGCTTTTACTGTCATCGACCACGATAAATACTCCGGTAACGATTTCATTGCTTCGTGCGATCTTCCAATTCACCAATTGATCGAGAGAGCTCCCAAGGCAAACCCCGAAACTGGACTCTACGATCTCCAAGTCCCTGCACAGGCCGAAGCGCTTCCTTCCCGATCGCGATTCAAGAAGCTCGCCATGTCACGATCCAACTCTTCCTCCAGTATCAGCAAGATGATTCGTCCTCCACTGAGCAAGCACGCCTCCAACACGAGCATGGCATCGGCAACTCCCACCCCTGCTCCCACATCAGCACCTGATCCTAACAAGCTGGCACCGGCGGACGTCCTCGCCAATACAGGTTCTGATCCTGACTCGACCAACCAGGACAGCGGAGATGCCGACTTTTATGAGTATAACGTTCCTCTGAAGATGAAGAACACCGAAAAGTGGGAGAAGAAGCACAACCCCGTTCTCTACCTTCGCGCGAAGTACATGCCATACGATGCTCTCCGGCAACAGTTCTGGCGAGCCATGCTTCGGCAATATGACGCTGATGAGAGTGGTCGCATCAGCAGAATCGAGCTCACAACTATGCTCGAGTCTCTTGGTTCTACGCTTACCGAGAACACCATCGA